AAAAAAAAAAAAAGAAGGGGCCGTGGGACCGTGTCGTGTGCCGGGGCGCGGTGTACACAGGGCTGGAGGGGGGAGCCTGCCGGTCTCGATCGCCCTGTGCAAACCTGCGGCCGGGCGTGTGTGGGCGGCATCTCAGCCCGAGTGACTGCTCCACGACCGGATCCCTGGTTGTCTCCGGAAAAGGGAGTTTTTTTTATTCGGCGGCCTATTTGTGGTTCTCCGCGCCTGGGGCGGCATTTCCGCGCTCCCGCGCACCCACCAGGCCGACCGGCCCCCTGCGTACCGGCGACGGATGCATGCCCATGCCGGAGAGAAGGAGCCCCTGGGGCCGCGGATCTTCCCCCCCGCTGCGGGCGCTTTCTTGCCGCCCCCTGCCCTGCACACGACCCGGGGCGCTCAACGCGACCAAGCCCCCCCCCCTCGCCCCTCCTCCGGCCCCGCCCCTGTGCCTCTTTTCGGGGACCTCCCTGTGGACCCGCGCAATCCGGGCATCGCGGCCATGTGCCCCCCTCTGCCTGCTTGAAAGCTCGCCCCCCCCCCCTCCCCCAAACTCATTCATTCGCTCCCCGCCCTGCCTTTTGTTTCGCCCCGCCTCCGCGCTTTGCCCCCCTTCCGATCATGGCCACCCCTGCGTTCCCCTCCTTCTGGTGGTCCGCCTCTCTGGTGGTCGAGCTTGGCTGCAGCGTGGCCGCATATGCCCTGATCGCGCCGGCCCTGTACACGCAGTCGCGTTTCCAGACGGCCTCCGGGCCGCACCACCCTTCCACGGACCCCTTCGCTCCGGTGGGCAGCCTGCGCCATGTGCTGGACACACATCTGAGCGACTCGCACCGGGCCGGCCTGGTGGCCGTGGCCTGGCCGCTGTTGACCCTGCTCCTGGCCACGACCGTGCTGCAATTGACGCCGGTGGTGCTGGCCTTCGGCCGGGCCTTCACCGTGCGCGTGCTGCCGACCCTGCTCGGGAAGGACGCCTCGCATCACAATCGCCGGGCCACCCGTCAACAGGTGGCCAAGCCCGCCTCGCCGGCCATCGACAAGGGCATCACCAGCCACGCCTCCCTGTCGGCCATGTCTCTCGGGCTGGCCGTGATCAAGGTACGCCCTGGAGCACACGCATCCGCCCACCGGCCTTTGCTACCACATGACTGCTCTCCTCCCGCGGCGCTTGTGTGTGTGTGTGTGTGTGTGTGTGTGTCTGTATACGTGTCTCGTGGGCCTGCTTGTGGCGGCCTGGCTCATGTCGACCCAGCCCCTGTCTCTCGCCCCCGCGCCCCCGCGCCTTTTACCACCATCCACTCACCCGAGCCCGCATGCGTCCTTGCCCGCGCGTCGTAGATGCTCCTCGGCCTGCTGGCCATCATTCTCATCGACAAGGCCCTGGGCCAATTGTCGCTGGCCCACCGGCCGGCCATCTTCCAAGCCTTCAACAGCGCCCTCTTCACCGTGCCGGTCCCGGACGACATCATGTCCGAGGCCAATGCCCTGGAGAATATGATGCAGCGGCTGTCGACATCCATTTACATCATCGGGGGCGGGGTCATCGCGGCTGGCGGTTTCTTCCAGGCCCTCTTCTCGGTCTTCCACCTGGGCCGGGCCTCTGCTGCCCCGCGGTGAGGAGGGATCCAATGCGCATGTCCGCGATGCGCGCGCCGCGACCCGCTCTTCCCTCCATCCCCCCCTCTTCACACAAGATCGCCCGCCAGCGCGGTGCGGCCTTTCGTGGCCCTCGCGCTGTGTCGGCCCAGGAGGGCGGGCTGGTCCCCCCTCCTTGTGCTTTGTCCTTCCTTTTTGCACGTTCTCCTTCGGCGCCACTTGCCTCTCTCTCTCTCTCTTGCCCCTCCCCCTCTGGGACGTGCTCCTTTCCTGCTTGGTGGCCGACCTCGGCAGAGCCTGCGCTTTTAGTTTTCCCAAGCGCATGCTTCCCCCTTCGTCCGGCCCCTTTGTGTGCATGCCTGACTGGCAGCCGGGCAGCCGGGCGCTGAGTGTGGCCGGGGTTCATCTTTCTCCCTTTTTTTTTCATCCCCGGCGCATGCCACTGCCCCTCTGTCTCTCAATACACACTGTCCTTTTCCCTGGCCCCCCCCCCCCCGTCTCTCTCTCTCTCTCTCTCTCCCCCTCCATGTGTGCATGGGTAGACTCTTCCTTTGTGCTGTATGCGGATTTGTGACGGAGCGGAATGCATCCACCCCCACCCCCACCCACACATCCACTCTTCGGACCTGGCTTTTGTTTTGTTTTGTATGGATTTTGTCCCGGCAGTGCCCGGCCGGTGGTTCGCCATCCGGGGGAGGTCAAGAGGGGCATGTGGGGGGTTGGGCAGACCCGCCCGCGACGCCGACAAGCACAACAGGCCCATGTAGGCGGCACAGCCGTCTGTGCCCCTCCCGGCCCCCCCCCCCCCCCCCGGGGCCGCGACCCACGCTCGCTCACCCCGCACTCATCGCGCCCTCGAGGAGCCGTGTAAATGAGGGGGGAGGCCGGGCAGACGACCGCCGCGCCGCGCCCAGCGCACGCGCCGGCACACCGTAATAACGCCCACGGCGGCCGTGACGTATCCATACTGCCAACGGTTGTGCCCCCGCCCGACCGCCAATTGTCCACGGATTTTTGGAAGTAATCATGTGCAGGTCTTACCCGGTCGCCTCCATTTTGCCCACAAGTCGTGGGTCTTCCCGGGGCCATGCAAATGTGTCCGCGGATCGGCAATAATTTTGGCTTGTGGTCATGGGTGTGTGTGTGTGTGTGTGTGCTTGGGGCTGTGTGGTGAGGTGGTGAAGGAGGGGCCGGGGGGGGGGGGGGCCTGAGTGGCCCGAATACGAACCTCGCCCCACCGAGATGCCTTGCTCCTCCTCGCAGCGGGGGATTCCGGAAGATTGTGGGCATTTTAAAATTGAGATCGCGTATGTTTCCCGGACAAGTTGACCCCGATGCCATGGTCTCCGGAGGGGGATGGACCCCTCCCGCTGGCAGACTGCCCCGCGTCTTGTCACTCCCCTCCCCCCCTCTCTCTCCACATCGGCGTCTAGGAGGGGGACAACAGGTGATGCCAGCCCCCGGGGGCGGTGGCGCTGGTCTCCGGGATCTCCGCGTTTATTTGAAAAACATGCCATGGCGCTGACCGAGTGCTCTCAGGTCGCAAGAGTACCACCAAGCCACCATGCCCCCTGAGAATGCCCAGTGCTTCGCCCTACGCTCTCTACCCCACTCCTCCCTCTGCCTACCTCTGTCCGGCTCCCCGTCCCACACGCGCCCGCAGCCCCAGCACATCCCCGGAGAACGGTTGCCAATCCCCGCCACGCCGGCCCGGACGCCCTCTCTCAGTGCTCGCGTCACCTCCCTCGAAGAGCAGACAACCCGCCGGCCCTGCCGGCTCCTGTGGCCACATCCGAACCTCGTCTCCCCCCTCTCTGTCTCTCTCCTCCCACATCCCTTTGTCCTCCCCCCCCCCTTGTGTCAGGTCCATATATATATATATTTAGGGCGTTTCCTGTTTGGCCACCGCCGCGGCGATCTAGCTAACCCATGCGCCATGCATGCCGCCCACTCCCAGAAGACATCACCCTCGGCACCCCCCTACGCCTCCCCCCCCCCGCGGAAGCATGACTCCCCTGGAGAATCAAGCACTGCGTGGGCTGACCCCCCAAAGGGCGGCCAAGCGCCATGAGCTCAATGCCCCACCCGATCCGGGTCCCGGTCTGGTCAGCTGGGCCAATGAGGTGTCTGGGCAGGACAACGGACACCTCAAGACCTCCACACCGGACAAGCCCAAGCACGCCCTGGCCGTTGATGAGTTGGCGCTCAGCCTGGAGGAGGCGGCTCGGATAGTGGAGACCACTTCCTCCTCGGAGGCCGAGTCTTCGGCCGAGGGCCTGCCTCTCGGGTCCATGCCGCGATCGACCAAACACCCACGCGCGACCTACCCCTCCCGGGCGGAGGCGCCCCAGGGGGAGAACGGCCACGCCCCCTTGGGCCCGGTGCGCCCACTGCCAGACTCTCTGCACATCCAAATCCCCGGAGCCGCGAAAAGCGTCGCCTCGGGGCCCGCCCCCAGGAGGGGACAAGCAGTCCCAAATGCAGGCGGCCCGGTCGAGGCCCCGACCGGGCCGGCGCCCGCGCCTACCACTCGCTCGCCATCCCCAGCAAAGGGCGGCACGGCCCGGGCTCGCGAGTCCCAGCGCGGGCGGGAATTTCTCCTACCGCCAGCTCGGATCCCGGTGGGCGCCGGTGGCCCGACCCCCGGCAGTGAGGCCGCCCATGCCACGGCCACCGGCAAGCACCACGGCGGGGAGAGCTTCTTGCACGATGTGCGCCTGAATCCGGTGGAGAATTTCCGCCTCCGGCAGCGAATCTCCCGGTCCATGATGCACGAGCTCCGGGCCGCCTGCGCGACGCTGCAACTGCTGAAGAGCGTCTGGTCCAAGCGCGTGCTGCCCATGCTGATGACCCTGCAGCCGGAGACACCGGCCGAGCGGGAAACCGTCAGGACCTTGCGCTTCCTCTGGCTGGACGACTACATCGAGTCCATCGAGCTCATGTACCAGCGAGTGGCGCGGGTGCAGGAGAAGACCCGCGCCAACAAGGAAAACATCCGCCGCGCGCTCAAGCGCATGGAAGAGCGGATGAGGGACTCGGGCCCGGGGTCCGGGGTCGAGCCCGGGGCCGGCGGGGCCGCAGGCACGTCGCTGCCGGCCAGCGACCAGGCCATGCAGGAGAAGCACCTGACGGCCTGGAAGTTTGTCATGCCGCTCGGGACCGACGCCACGGCCCACCTGCTGCCGCTGATCCCGACGCTGGAACGGGCATACATGGAGTACTTCACGGCGCGCACCAACTTCCTGACCTACCGGTCCGAGCGCATCATCATCCCGGTCAGCAGTTCCATCATCGCGGCCGAGGCGGAGATCGCGTCCATGCTGTCGCAGGCCAGCCGGCCCTTCAATGTGGCCTTCTCCGTGGCCAATGCCGAGCGCCTGGTCGATTCGGTGGTCGAGTGCCTTGCCTTCACCACGTCCGGGTCTTTCCTCAGCCGGGTGCTGATGCTGCCCCAGTACCGGCTGGTGCGGATGCACCAGTACGCGCGGTTCCTGGTGCAATTGACCCCGGCCGTCACCTCGCCGGCGTGTGCCTGGCGCGACCGGCTCCTGCTGCTGATCACTCGGTTTGCCCCTCAGGATGAGCTCTTCCGGCAGTACCTGGTGACGCTCGACCAGCCGACCAGCCCGTCGTCGGAGAACCTGCTCGACCGCCGGGAGCTCCAGCAAATGGCCTCGGCCTGCATGCTGGATTCGCCGACACTGGACCGGCCGCCCAAGTCCGACGCCGGGCCCGACGCCGGCTGGCAGGGCCCGGCTGGCCAGGCCAGTGTCAGCAAGAGCTCCAGCCCCGGGGCCTCCTTCCGGAGTGTCAACAACACCAGCGCGGACACCTTCCTCGATGACGAGGATGACGACGAGGAGGAGGGCGCCCTGGCCCGGGCCGATGGCAGCCCGCTGGCGCTGATCCCCGGAGTGGCACGGGCCGCGGCCAATGTGGCCGACTTGCGCTTCATCCGGAAGAAGCTGCGGCAATTTGACCAGGGCATCGGGCAGTTTGCCAAATCCGTGGAGGGTGCGTTGGCTCTCGCGAGCGGGCATCCGGGCGACAGCTGGCTCCGGGGAACAGGGGGGAGGGGGAGGGGGAGGAGGGGACCCTCCACGCAGCTGCCTGACTGTCCATGTTTGGGGTTTGCGGCTGCGAGGAGGGGGGAGGACAAGTCAATCTGCCGGCACCCCCCTTTGGCCGGACGCCCCTCTCACATCTGCGCGCTGACCGGCTTGCTCGCCGCTGCTCCCTGCCCTCGCCCCC